AATGTATGAAATTTTTAATTTAAGTAAATTTTAAAAAATTAAAATTATAAATAAATGCACATAATTAGTTTAACTATAAGTAAAATGACATTAATTCTATTTTAGGAGAAAAATTATAAAATTAAATAATTAATTAAAATTAAAGCAATTAAATTTGAGACAAATAAAATTTGGATGCAAAAAAGAAGTCACTGGTGAACTTCACCAAAATAAAACTAAGAAATAATCAATTAATGTGATTAGAGAAATAAAGGTGAACTATATTATAAAATGGTTTACATTCAAAATATATAAAAAAAAAGGTCAATAAATTACTTGAGCAAATTTTCATTTGCATTATGAGTGTGTTTAACAAGTCGTTCTAGTAGCTTATAAGTTAGTTTGAGTAACTTATAATTTGATTTGATCAAAATAATTTTTTGTGTACAAGCTTATTTTAGTAACTTTTACCTTATTTTTAAGAGCTACTTTAATCATTTTTTAACATAAAAAATTGTCAAAAAAAAATTGTATCTTTATAATAATTATATATTTATCAAAACTTGTTAGATCAAGTGGTTCGACACTTATGCTCCTTACTAAGTTTTGATTCTGCTTTGGTCACAAAGTCGTATTTGGAGATACCACTTTATATCTATATTGGTCGACTTGGTGGAAAAAAAATATCTCAATTTCAAACTAAAAAAATTAATATGTATTTCTTAACATATATTTGTCTTCATATTTAATGTTGACTAGCCATTATCAAAAAATTAAATGTAATTCACTAAAATCATTTATTACTTTAATTAAATGAGGTATCTCTCATCATTAAATGCTTTTATATTTAAAACTTCATTTTCAAAAAATCGAATTTTGAATGAGTTATAAAGAACAAGAAGTTGTTGGTCCATATGATATTAAACTCGATCCCTATAAATAAGATCTTAAGTTTAAGTCTTGTGATGAAAAAAAAACGTGGTTAGAGGAGAGATTCAACTAAAGGTGATCTTTTATGTTTCACAAAACATATTATTCATTAAAAACGTCGATGAATACTTGTACCAAAAATGGTTTAAAAAAGTTATAAAGTAATTAGGTATTATTAAACTAAAGACCATTTATGTCAAATAAAATGCACTGATTCTCAATGTGACAAATCGACATTATTTAATGGTGTATGGAAGTTATAATGTTTTTTTTTTTAATTTATAAATATTTATAATTTATTAAGTTTTTAAATAAGGTGTCCAAAAAAATGTTTTTAAATAAAATGATTAATCACCTATCAAATACAGCTACAATAAATTAATGCTTGATGACTTTTCAAGATAACATAAATAAGGTTTTCAAAGTTTTAAAAAAATTGAAAATTATTTGATACTTAATTTTATTAATTCAAGTCAACGTATAAAATATTTTTTAATTATCTGTCAATTTGAAATAATGAAACAGAGTGTCAAATAATTTTTAAGTTTTTTTAAAACTTTGCAGATTTAATCAATTTATTAAGAACTTTTAATTTAATGGTTGGATCGTTAAAATTTGATATAGAATATGAGTTGTTGAGTAAAGTAAGTACAGTAAGACTTACTCTTATAGTAAAAGAATCTCTCTTTATCTATCTATCTATCTATCTATCTATTTATCTATCTATCTATCTATCTATCTATCTATCTATCTATCTATCTATCTATCTATCTATCGATCTATATATATATCTATCTATCTATCTATCTATCTATCTATCTATCTATCTATCTATCTATCTATCTATCTATCTATCTATCTATCTATCTATCTATCTATCTAT